TATATTCGCTCTCTGACCATGCCCGAATATGCCTAAGCCCTTTATACCTATACACCTATAGGAATCCTTAACCGCCATGATCACACCGACCATGTTTCGGTTCTAATTCGACAAAGAGGCACTCAATTTTCGCTCTGCGGCTATATCCGCCAGACATTTAAACTACTATAATGACGCCATCTATTTAAAGCTGGCAAGCTCTTTAATTGAATATATGTCAGCCGAAGTGTCCCGTTCCGAAGGTGCCATACAGAAAAGCTTATGAAGAAAATCTTGCGCCAAAACGGGGCCCTGCACTCCGTAATGTTAGAACTGGCGCACTGCAGTTCGGTCGTTAAGGGAAATTGTGGAAATTGTGCTTAGTGTGAAAAAGTCGCTCTTCGGGAATTTTAAAGACTGCACTGAGTATGTATTTGGTTTTGTTTTACGAGGTGTATCCTGTCATATGCAGCGATATAAATTTTTTCTAGGGGGGACAAATGTTTAAATTTGTGAACCTAACCTTCAAAGCGTACAAGCTTAATTTTATTTAATAGATATGAGATCCAAACACTAGATGATTTAGGCTTTTTTCCTATAATTAATATATAGTAATTAACGGTACAAGACTGGAGCAAGCAGATTCCTGGGCAAGCCGTAGGCGAGTCCTGGTAGCTTGGAGAGACCTGCTAAAAACTAATTTTCGGTCGCGTTACGTACAATATATATTTTAAAACCGACAGTTTGATGTAATTTTAATTATTTACTATATAATATAAAGTGAATAACAAATACTAAAGTTTAATAAGGATTTTCTGTGTCACACAATTCAAAATCTGAATCCATATTATCAAATTTGCGAACTTACAAAACAAGTTTCACATTAACAATAAATTTAAAATCAACGATGTCACTTAACAAAAAATCTCAACGTTGTTACCATAGTAATGAAATCAAGGGACACTGTATTATTAAATAGTGAGTAGAAAAATTAAAAAACAGGCGCGGGAAAAGCTTTTTTCTACGATCACTATCCAAAGTAAACTTGCGCTTCGAAATTTTTGACGTTTTCCGCGAACTGACATAAAGTGACAGCTTTGCCGCTTGTTGAGCGAAAAACTTGACAGCTTTGTTGCTCGCCTAGTTTAAATTAGATATAATACAATAATATTTATTTTTAATAAATGATGTTGAAGTTATTTGTACGTGGTTTGATGTTTTTTGTTTTTTTTTATTATCTAAGTAAATACTAGCTTTGCATATCAACTCATTTTTTCATAAATAAACTAGATATAGGCAATACATTATACACTACTTACGTCAAAATTTGAATGATTTCCATGGCTTTGGCTGGTGTGGTTTTCATGGCTCTTGTTATGTTAAGATGTGTTGTTCTTTGATTTTTTTCTAGTTTGCTGATACCCCAGCTGTGACTTACGATTCGGCGGTATTGTTCAATGAGCAATGTATTCTTTTTTTTTTTTCGTTTAATAGCTGTAAGTGATATGTTAAGTTGCAGTCAAAGGTAAAACTTAGGTACTTTACCTCTGTAACAAAGTTTAGTTTTGTGTTTGGGAGTTCTGGATATTTCAGTTCCATTTTATCCTGCTTCATGTGTAAAGGATTGTGTATGTCTTCTTGGGATTGATAGATAGTAAATGGTCCTTGCATCACTGTTCTTGAATAATAAGAGCTACTAGCATTCTTTCAGAGGGTATGTTCTCATTTTGTTTAATTTTGGTCCACAAATTTACATAGAAAACAATTAGTGTCGTCAGCAAAAGTTGAAATGTTGGCATTAAATTCATATGTAAGTAGGGAGTTTATATAAATGAGAAATAATATTGGTTCTAGGACTGTGCTTTGGGGTACAACAGTAACAATTTTCTAATAATTCTTACTTAGTTTAATACCAATGTTTACAAATTATATTCTATTTTCAACGCAATATTTGAGGTCTGCTGATATTCTCTTAGATTTAGGAAATTTAAGGTATTGTTTGTTACATCTTAAAGTGTACTGTTATAATAGTAGGGTGAATATTATTGGTTAAGTCGATACACACACACGCTTTTCTAGACAGTCGAGGTACATTTCAAAATCTAAAATACCAATAATTGTAGTTTTTTAAAAATCACTAAATAGTCTAGTAAACAGTGTGTAAGGAAACATGATCTTTTCCCTCATTTAATCTTTTTCATGGTCAAAAAGTTTAATAGTTTTGGTATATATTCATTAGTATACAATGTCTACTTATGTCATATTTATAAGTCGTAAATTTTACATTGAATACGAGATAACAAATTCACCATATTTTGTAAGTACCCTAGGGATTCCTCAAGGATACAATCTTCGGGCTCTGCTATTTTCACCTTTCGTAAATGATATTTGTCAAGTAGTACAGTCTGAACAACATTTATTTACAGACGACATTAACATAAATACAGAAATAAATAGCTAAATGAACACTATGACTCTGCAAAATTATAGTAATGCTTTATTTAGGTAGTGTCAGATTGATAAGCCTTATCTTAATCCAGAAAAGAGTAAAGTAATGACTTCCTTTCTTAGAGAGCTGGAAAGGAAGGGGAATATGTGTATGCTGACGAGAGTCTGAATATTATCTTAGTCATATCTACGAGTTGGACTATCGCACCCATGTGTCTCGATGCCTCAACTGGTAGAGGTGCTACGCTTGATCCATCTCGAAGCACTTCATTTTTCTTTTCTTTATTTCTCATCTCTTTTAATTTTTCTTAAAATTTCATAAAGTATATTCCCTTTTATATTTCAAAGCTGAGATTGTAGGTAAGAGTTTTTCTATGTAATGTAATTTTACTGGATAAATATCTAGTTTATTGTTTATGTATATCGTCAGCCTCATATGAAAAGGACCTAAGTCCAAAAATGTATTTTTTTACAGGAAATGAAAAAAAAAGTGTTATAGCCTATTTTTGTTTTTTTTTTTTCAAATTTGTCAAATTAAATGTAGTTGTGCATTATTCATATTCTAGTCGCATAAATTGAGCATATTATTTCTTTTACAAAAATCAAAACAAGTTTTAGTAGATGAAAACCTTACATTATTATTATTATTATTATTATTATTATTATTATTATTATTATTTAAATAAAAACATACAAATTGTTGAAAACACATTTATTATTATAACGTTAACATCAACAATGAAACAACTAAACATCATTAAGAACTAAAAAACAAGAATGTTATTCTATAAAATTAGGATTATTATAGAAAGGGTGATAATCTTGTGGCATTGTACCTTTTAAAGATTGCAAATATTCAAATTTTTCCTTTTTAATTTTTAGTGGACCTTGGTATAAATTTGGCATATTTTCAAACGGTACTTTTTTATTTAATCTATTAGGAAGTGCTTTGAATTCATCAGTTTGTCGAATCTTGAAGTCAATAGAGCCAGAACTGTTGTACCTCAACGCTCTAATATAGGTGTAGGATCACCTACCTTAAATCCAGGACGTATGGATTTTATAAAATTTAGCCCAGAAAAATCTTTAAAAAATTGTGGGTTAAATACTTAACTATATAAGGCTCTCGAATTTTGCTCTAGCAATGGAAACATAGTCTGCTGGCACATTCAGCTTCCTTTCAATCGTGGAGTGCATTGAATCGCACTCCATTTGGGTGTGCCCTTTCTCCAGGTATTTCTGGATAATACAGACGTCGTTCTCAATCGTACAATTTAAAAGGGCATTTGATAATGTAGAATTACGATTTTGTGCTCCACAACCGTCGCTATAGATTACTATAAGTGGCTTATCATTTATATTGAAGGTTGTTATCACTTCGTTAGCTAGGAAGTTACAAAGAATGGAGGCAAAACAATTAGCTTTCAATTCTCCTTCTGCTTAATGCCACATGAAACAGTAACCGTGCTTAGAATGCAGGTCAAAAATATTAAAATTGTGTAATATTAACTTGGTTTTATAGTACACATTTGATTTAGGACATAATAAAACGGATTGTAAGTCCATAGTGAAAACCCTATTGGCAGATATTTTGTCCTTTTCTTTTTCTTTTCGTACCTCTTCTTTCTTGTCTATATATATTTTATACTTTCTTCAATGTTTTTGGTCCTATACCCTACACAGATGTCACACTCATCTTTCTTTGGCCTAAATAAAGCTAAGTTCATTTCTTCAAATACATACGAAAATAATGTTGAAGATGCAGCATCTGTCTGCCTTTCCTGACACCAGTTGTCCTTGTAGACGGAATAGAGTTCTAATTTTGATTTTCAGGACGGCTCTTAGTATAATTTTGAAGTTGATTTGCGGCAATAATGAGATTCTAGTTTGGGTATGGTGTCTAGAAACTGTTTGATTGTTTGCCTCTTTTCGTTACCATTTGAACGAGTTTGTATTAATAAATTTTCTTTTAACGTCTCATCCTCATTATATTTATTCAAACTGGCGAAGTCTCTTAGCAACTTGGAAATCGTTCTAGTTGACATGCCTACAAAATATTGTTTTACATACTCGCATTCTTCCGTATTTTTTTTTTTTTTTTTTCTAAATAAAAGGTAAATGAACAAGTACTTTGGCTTTTTTCTTCCTGCTTTCTGTTTCTTGCTCTTTTTATGTTGTTCATAACTCCCCTTACTATAACAGGTCATACTCCAAATTTTTTAAAAATTAGTTTGTCTCTCATCCTCCGTGAATTTGTAACATTGTATTGTACTCTTTTTGGTGTCCTGGCATGAACATCTTTGATTAATTGATTTTTCAATCCTTTTAACAGTAAACTGATTATCTTTCCTTCCTAAATACGACAGAATCTCTTCTCTTTTTCTTTTGTTATTGTTGTATTCCCACTGAGAATGTAACTTAGTCTAGCCTTTTTTTTTACTATTTCTACCTTCTCCAGTATTCTTGTCTTCATCCGTAGTTGTATTTTCATCTACAAGGCATTCATTAGCTAAAGTCTCAATTTTATTCCCTACTCGTTTATTCAGATCCCCCTCTTCAATGGAACTTTGATTTTAAGTTTCTCTTAAGTTTCGTTCAATTTTGGCTTCAGAGATATCAGTCGATTTTACAGCACACGGGATGTAGGAATTCTTACTACTTGTATTATCTTTATCCACAGGAATACAAAATTGTTCAAAGTATGGGTCTTTATCAGCAGTTGTATTTTCGCCTTCCGCTGCAAGCCAATAATTTCCTAAAGTGTCAACTTCATTCTCAACTTGTTTATTCTGATCCCTCTTCAATAAAACTTTTATTTTCAGTTTCTTTTCAAATTTCGGTTCAGCGATATCAGACGATTTATTTATAGCAGAAGGAATACCAGTTGAAATTGTATAGTCGTTACCAGATTCTTCAAATGGATCTAATGAAAGAATGGTTAAGTCACCATCGATCGTCCAAAAATATATTACTTAGATTGTTGTCAAATTTTATTATTTCGCAAATTAATTCATCCTTATTTTTATCTACTGAATAAGTGTGATTTTGACTTAGCGGCGAGATTATGTTGTGGTATTGAGGTGAATTCAAACAAATATTGCTCAATACTGTTATTTTTCTATTTTCTTGTTCAGGCTGAACCCTGTCAGTGGGTTCTTGCCTAATATTTTTTTGACAGTTTACAAGGACATCTTCTTTAAGAGCACTGATTGTGGATTCATGGTATGATGAAATGAATCCAAATCAGTTGAAAAGAATAAAAGAAAAATCTATGCCACCATTAATACACCGTATTATGAAATTAAATGGCAATAAACAAATAAAAAAATGTATGTATACAAAATTCATAAAAATTAAAAAATTCTGTTATAATAAAAATTGCAATGAAAGTCCCAATAACTTGATATACCTTTTAAGTAATATAATAATGTATTATAACTTAAAACAACAAATAAAGAACTTCTAATAATACATTAAGAATACCACAACAGTTTTCTCAATATCGTATAAATCAATAAAAAACTTTGATAACACAGGCCCACGAAAATTTTGTGAACTAGCCATTTTATTTTTTTTTTTTTTCACCTGTTTACAACTTTAATATAGCTAAAATAACCCCCTTTTTATTCTATCACGTAAACTTTTTTTGTAAACTAGTATCAAGGGTATTATCCATGAACATCACAAACAAATTAATTTGAATTCCTTATTTTTAACCGACTTCAAAAAAGGAGGAGGTTCTTAATTCGTCGCAATATTTTTTTTTGTTTCTTTATGTATGTTCAGCGATAATTCTTTAACACACCGATTTCAACGATTCTTTTTTTGTTAAAAAGGCGGTACTTCAAGGGTGGTCCCATATACATTTGGTTAAGATGTGGTGATGGCATTACACACAAGGCTTAAAGAAAAAAAATTACTTGCTCCAGGTACTACATTTTAGCTAAAATAAAATTAACGAAAATTTTGAGGTACTGCTTTTAAAAATAAACTACAGACAACATAACTGGATTCTATGTGGTCACCTTAAAATTTTAGGGTTGCTTTTAGGTCAACAAGCAAAAGATGACCACTTGACCAAAAAAAAAACTGGCCACCAAGAAAATTTTTTTCGCCTGGCTCCAAAAACGTAATTCGGGAAAGCCTAGTTGATCCCGAGAATATTTTATTACCCCCCCTCTATATATAAAATTGGGACTGATGAAACAGTTTGTCAAAGCTCTAGACAAAAATGGTGGTTGCTTTAAGTACTTGTGTGAAACATTTCCGGGTCTCTCTGAAGCTAAATTAAATGACGGCATCTTTGTTGGGCCACAAACATGGGCGTCGTTTGGGGGGGGGGGGGGGGGGGGCAAGGGGGGGCAGTTGCCCCCCCTGGCTTTTACGACTATACAACGCGTAATGGCTGTATGTCACAATACTAAATTAAGTACTAAAATTTAGCCCTAAATCAAGTTATTAATTTAGTACTAAATTTAGAACTAAAAATATTTTTTTCCTTTTGCAACGATACCAATTTTTAGTACTAAATTAAGTATGGGGGCACGCGCATTGACGTATTATTACGTAAAATTAGCACAGAAATAAAATATTCTTTGTAAATGAGAGAAGAAAATTAAAAGATGTATTTATTATGACTTTGACACTAATTGACTTGACAATAACTAAATGCTGCAATGCTACTAAAAACCACGAAAAAACACAATAAAACCTACAAAATCAAACACAAGCGAAATTTGTCCAAGGCGATAAAGCAATAACAGTTGCTGTGTTGTAAATTGTAAAAATACTAGCAGAAAAACAGTGTAAATTATATAAATTTTAAGTAGCAAAATGAAAATTAAATCAAAGAAATAAATGGATAGCTGTACAATAAGAAGAAAAAAACCTTTATTTTTGTAATAATAACACTAATACTGGAAATAGTAGACATCAGAAAATTAAAAGGTTTTAAATAAACAATAAATTATTATTTTACAATGTTGTTCAACATCCCTTAACTCTTAAATGTTGAGCAAGGATTAGATTTCTGCCTTTGATTATTGTATGTGGCTGAAATGCAATCTTGTGACTTATTGATAGGAAACCAATTTTATTAATTAATTTCTATGGACTCTTTCGAACTAAAAATAAAGAAAATATGAATTGCAATCGCAAATTTACCAATTATTTTTGTTAATACGTTTTGAGACTACGTTATTATATAATGGTAATGTTTTTGTTTTCACATTATTTAACCTTTTCTTCAATGGTAACTTATTAGGCTTAGGCAACATATACATTTTCTGGTAAATATATAATCTTATAATAATCATTCTTTCCCTAATTCATCCCCTTATGAGTGAATTTTAACTCCAAAAGCTGAGATTGTGCGGGGAAAAATATTATTATTATTATTATTATTATTATTTGCTGTGGTGCTTCGGGACGACTTAAAGATAATTAATGGTGACATTTGACTTACAGGTGAGGAAAACCCGGAAAACCCCACCTACCATCATCGAAAACGGTAATGCATGGTGATTTTATTTTAATAATCTGGATTTCATATCAACAGAAATTAAATTTCTGCTAATATGGCATCCATCAAATCCTATAGAGAACCATGCAAATAAATTCACATGGTCTTCGGTATAATCTGAAACCGTGTCTCGTTTTACCAGAAAATTGGCTGACAAATGAATGCCGCGCCGTAGACACCTACACCACCGTAGCCTGCCTATGTTTTATTATTGATTATACTACTTTTATTTTAGCTAAAGTACCTAATAAAAATATATAATAATTATTTTTTTCACTTGTTTTACAAATCTATATACTTTTATTAAAATCAACATATATATTTTTTAATTCCATTATAAATTGTATTGTCAGTATACGCAAATATAGTCCGTTAGTTCATAAATTAGTTGGCGCTGCTGTCACGCACAGAGCGAATAATGAATGAAAATAGGCTGACTGCGCTTTGCATGATGAACGTACATCTAAAAATAATCGCAAAAAACTAAAAAGAAATCATGTTTTCTGTTATCGATTATTTTAGGTAGAGGAAGAAGAAATTAAAAATTAACGAACACTAGGTCGACGTGTTTGAGTGAGTTTTTTTTGTTTTTGTGTTTCTATAAATATTTTATTTTTATTATATATTATGTATGGCTCTGTCTCCTTGTTCATATTTTTCTTTTATCTCACACCTTCTATTTGTTTTTTAGAAAAATGTGTTTTAAGTTTTTTGTTTTTTTTTTTTTTTTTTTTTTTATTTTAGTTTTTGTCTTTTTTGTTGGGTTATTTTATTTATTAAAAACTTTTGTTAATTTGTATTGCTCTTTTAGTTTTCAATTTCTCTGTTTTTCAACTAATAAATATTCTAAATTTTTTCAAAATTTTGCCCCCCCCCTATAGAATTGTGTAACGACGCCCATGGCCACAAATAAGAAGGTTGATGAAAACTAATGAAATTGAACCGGTTATGCAGGAAGACGAAAAAGAAGCATGGACAGCTTAAAAGGGACCGTCCTACCGCAGAATATGCACAAAAAAATAACAAAAAGAAGTTTTTCCGGAAAGAGAGAAAGATTTTTCAAGAAAACAAAGGATTCATGTATGTTATTTTTTTACTACTTCCCCGGTTTTATTGGTTTATTATTTTCTTTTTTATCCTAAGTATCTATAAATATATTTTTACTTTTTACATTCTTGTTGTACTTACCTATTTTGTTTAAAAACTTACGTTATAGAAAAAAACTAAAAGCAGATTTGAAATCAGCGTCAGTGAAATACCCACTTTCAGTTGAAAAGTTCAATTCACATTTTACAGAGTATTTAAACGCAGGCTTGTGTAATCAATCGGCGTACAAAAATGAACGTTAACTGGCGGATTTGTGCTCATTTCATGTAGCTGTCTGTCAATGGTGTGGGATTTGCGCAGAAATTTAGCGACATCTAATAACTTTTGCGTGAACTGAGCAGTTTAATAAATAGAAAACACGTTTGTCTAATAGATGGCACAAAAATCTTAATTTTCGTCATTTGTGGACTTATGCCCTTTTCACATGAGCCGACGATATTTTAATTTATAATTTACATATCTCTTAATGAGTCTAAGCCTGCCGGATGTAATATTAATAAGTAAATCTTAGAATGTGATTTATTTTGGAGCCTGGCAGATATGTGAACAGTTCTATCTGTATTATTTCTATATGTACGGATTAAACCCATGTCTCCCAGTATTCCTATAAATATAAGATTAATCCTCTCTTTCTTCCTTTAAGCACTTGATTAAATAGCTTTCAGTCGTAACACCCAAACGATCTTATAACCAAAACAAAAAACAAGAAAAAAATACAACCAAACACGAAATGACAATCCTATTCGCAGCAAGCCTCTCTTTTTCAACATCAAAAAATTTAGTACGTCCATAAATTATTTTCTACAAATGCCTCGCACCGGAGCTGTGACAGTTTATATTTTTGTTCGCCGTTGTTAGAGCAGCTGTTATATGGAAATGGTAAAATAAAATGTCAAACCTGAAAGGCGCGAATAGAAATTTTTGCGTAGTAAAGTTCTGCGGTGCATTGTAAGCCGATAAACGCGAGGTCTGATAATAAAATTTATTTTAGAATATTATTTATACATAAATGGAATGTTGCCATAATAAAACACAGTATCAAGTATATGGAAATACTTGTAATAACACTAGTTGTTGTGTAGATATTTCTAAAGTAAAATATCGGGAACTTATTATACAATGACCAAGCCAGAAACAAATGTGATTATAGTAACTCAATGCAATTTTTGTGTACGCCAAGAATTAATAATAATAATAAAATAGAATATTATGCAACAAGGGCAGAAAGTAACCAATTCCACACGATGTGTGAAACTTGTGACACGAGCGAATGCGAATGCCACAATCACACGAATGTGGAATAGGTTTTCTGCACAAGTTACACACTCTACTTTTCCTACGACCACAATGACCTAAACCTAAATTACAATTTTTTTTTAAATAAAATGATAAACTTTATTAACGATTTAAAAATAGGAATATTTAAGGGTGGGAAATATGTATTATTGTTATCACTTTTTAAATTTGTAACAAATTTTCTTTTCTTTTCTTTAATCTAAAATTAATTTAAATTTTAAAATGTATAATTTATTCACTTATTTTTTATGTTATGAATTTGTAGCATATCTACCTAGTTGTGATTTTGCCATTTTAGTATTTGTAATTTTCAAAAATACAAAGTAAATTAAATGTCACGATTTGAATTGTCAATATTTTAAATCGGGCAGCCTGTCATCCTGTGACCCAACCAGGGGTGTCCGAACGGTGTGCTGGGCCCAAAATATGAGATTTGATTTTATTTAAAATCAAAATATAAAATTGATATAATTTCTTCACCGAGTATACTTCTTGGTCTTTTTGAGTCTTTGACAAACCTAGATATGGCTGATAGGGGGGCCCAAATTTAGATTCTCGTAAAATTCAATTTTCTCATATAAAGTTGATGACGGCATAATGAGGGTTTTTAAAGGTGTAATTTTGTGTTGCAAGCATGTAGCCCCAGGGCTGCACGAACAAGCGTCCTAAGGGGCCGAAACTATTATGTTCACCTGGGACTATTTGATTTGATTTCATTATATATAATTGATATAACTCACCTGGCCGGGGAGCTAACCTTTTGAGGCTGGTAAAACGGTTGCGGTGGATATGGAATTGAAAAAGAAATACTTCAACGTAAAATGGAATTAGATTTTTTTATAAATATTTAATGTAGCCTGGTGTGATAGAAAAATTTGACATTTCAACAAAACAATTCTTACAGAATAATATAATTTTTTTTCTTTTTTCTACAACAAATTCATATTCCATCGTGTTGTGTTCTTCCATCTTCTTGTTCAGCTTCTTCCAACAAATCATCTGTTTCAGTGACCTTAAAAATCATCCCCAATAAATTGTCCATATAAGGTTTGTCTCTTTCTATTAAGAGGTTTAAATCCAATATCGAATCAAGGTTGTCGACAGGCTGAATTTTAGTTACCGCCAATTTTAAATTACCACACTCTTTCTCCAAACAATTTTTTCAAGCCATCGTGCACTTCATACCTGAACATTTACACTTACATTTCTTACTACAAGCCTTCTTACAAGAACAAAAAATTGTCCGCAATAACTTATCTGGAGCTGGGGGTCCAAGAATCCGAATGGGTTCTAAAGAATCATTTTCTTTTTCTTCCCATCCCCAATCTGTTGGCTGCAATTCATGGCCCATCCAATACTGAACTTGAAAATACACTCTTTTAAGATGTTCTAATGCTGCATCTGAAGTCGTTCGTGGAGCTCTGGAGCCGCCTGCTTGCAAGCCAGGGCAACATAAAATTACACTCTTACAAACCCTCATCATAATGAGAAAATGGAATTTTATGAGAAATTAAATTTGGGGCCCCTTGGAACCCCTATAGCTCATATCTGGGTTCGTCAGAGACTCAAAAAGGTCAAGGCTCGCTGGCGGAATTATATCAATTTACATGTTGATATCAAATAAAATCAAATCTCATATTTTGGGCCCCGGTACCCCTTTCGGACACCCCTGGTTGGGTCACAGAATGACAGGCTGCCTAACATAGAGTTTGTAGTTTTATAACACTATCGCGTACCAATTCTGTGTCCTGAATCAATCCCGCGTAATCATGAAATTTGAGACCCCATGGGCCCCTGTGTATACGAATCTGATGGCTTGAAAAGGCCTAATTCTCGATGAAATTGAGATCTTCGCCCTTCTAAACCCCCCTGACGCAACTTGGCAGCCCAAACACATTTCCACGGACATCTCATTTTGGACTCCCAGACGGCCTGTCACACACCCCTGGGAAGGTCGCAAAGGCTACCTAACCCAAATAATGGATTTAGGGCACTTCAAACATTTGCCCCGCTTGGGACTGCAGTTTTGGAAAGTATGTGGCTTGTTGAAAAAAGCCGAGAATTCCCCCCAATTGGGGTGAATTTGGGGCGGGAGGGAGGCCGAGCGGCATCTAGATTTTGGTGAACTTTGAATCTCATGTCTCAATGAACATTTTGCAGAAAAAAATAGCCCAATCGGACCTTTCCGATCAAAGTTCGAAGTTTCTGCGTTTTTAGTCCTACTTTGACGCGACTAATAAACGATGGTTACAAAATATTCGGTAGCTCTAATAACTAATTTTCGTGTGAAAATGATTTATTATGTACCAACATTTTTTATTTATTTTCTAAACAAGACCAATAAAAATGTTTATGATAGATATTGAAAATAAATCTTTCGTATACATAATAAATTTATTAAACACAGAAACCGCAAAAATAAATTGGTTGCATTTTCTTTGCTATTAGCTTACATTCCATGCAATATCTGCAAATTTTCCTGACAGCACCAATACTAATTTCGTTTTCCTAACAATATTAAATTCCAATAACCAATGGAATGCAATCAATAAATCACTGCATGTTTCGGTATGGCATTATTGGCATCCTCATTCTATTCCCAGTCTGCTATATTCCGTCCTCATGTCAAATACATCTTAATTTACTATTCATAAATACATTTTTACTAAAAATGATAACTGTTATCATAAAATTATATACTTTATTTTATTTGATGAGGTATAAGCTGTTTAACCCTATTATTGGACTATTAATAATTGTATTCTCTGATATTCAATCCTAAATCATTTGAATAAGATGTGTCACACTGTTTCCTCTGTCGAGCTGAATAGCATACAACATTATGTAAATAACAAGCTGTAACGTGAGATATCCATCATTATGTGACTGGAGCGAACCAATACGAAGTACAGGGTCTTCAAAAGTACAGTTACTCTTGGTATTTTAACTTTGTTTAAAATATAGCATGAAATTGTACATAATTTTAAAAAATCCCCCAGAGGTACCAAATAAAACAAAAAACTGTCAAAAATCTTTAGCTCCTTTGGCTTTTATCAAGTAAAATAAACGTTGTATCCAATTTTTTTAACATTAACTGATCACCTAACATAATCATTGTACATTTACCTGATACTTTTAATATCTATCAAAAATCCTAGAATCCCATTTTTCCTTTACTTTTAATATAGATATACCATTTTCTAAATATACTATAACAACTCAAAAATCATAGTTTGGAGAAAATTGCCATTGAAAATTCTAGTCATAGTTATTTGATTTGATTTCCATGTACATGAATAAAAAGAATGGCCCCAATCATAGTTTGAAGGTGTCTATTGACGTCTGTACTCAACAAAATTCATTAAACATGAAAACTTTTGGTAAACGAAAAATTTCCTGGGATATCTCCCACTATTAATCTAGAATATATATTTATTATCTAATGAAAAAGTACCAAAAGATCTACACGACTAGAGTATAAAAAAAAATATTTGTTGGTGCGTGTTATATTTTTTCTTCATCACCAGACTCTGCTTTAAAATTAGCATTACATTCTTAAACATTCTTATAAAAAGGCCAGTGCTCAACAAAAACGACATTTTCTCTGCATATTTTAAGTAATTTCCAAACTGGAAATATTAGTGTTACACCTTATATTCCCTTTTTTACAGAACTCAGTTTGAAAATACTATCTGCATACGATGTTTAATAAAAAATAGTGTATGGATGTTATTTCTCAAATCTGACTATTTTAACGCCCTTCCAAATAACTGGCTCATTGTAGAAGTTGTTTCTAATTTAATTTATTGAAATCAAAAACATTATTAGTTAATATTTCTTCCAATTTGTATGGATGTCACTGTCAGTGTGTATTATCATTGCCTATTACGCGGATATGCAAATTGTACCGCTCTTCAAGACCCTCCTCTATTCCTTCTCCTTTATTTTGAGTATGCCCACCGATGAGACTTTTATGCAAAATGGAATACATATCTTCAAAATGTACAAATATGATTTAGGGTTTTTCTGGCCAACACAATTATTAGAGTGAAATAATATATAATATCTTTCTTTGTGGTCAGTTATAAACTTTTAAACAAAACTAGATATTTAATTTCCTTCACTTTTTGCTACGGCTTCGTGGCACAGGTAGCAATATACTTTCTAATTCTTCAATTCAATAATGGTTTAATGTTGATAATTTGCTTTTATAATAAAAGCATATACCTACATCGTCACAAGAAGTAGGCAAACAGCTTGTAAATTATAGCTATAAACACACATATTACGGTTTTCTACATCTACTTTTTTTGTCATTTTCGACATATGGAAAGCTAAATTATAAGTCTCAGTATTGAAAATGTGCGCGTGAGTTCCATATTTAGCATAGTCTTCTCCTGCATCTTCACATTGTTGAACATAGAGACAGTGCATTATTCAAATGTTTAAACTTTCTTCATTTGTGAATGACCATAATGAGAGCTGACCTATAGAAATGAGTCATTGTATCTTATAATATCACTTCTAATGTCTTTTCTTTGAATTCTTTTGTGTTGTGTATATTTTCAACTTTTATCACGTTTGATTCATTCTTATTGATCCTTTTTCTCAGTGGTTGTTCTATTATCTATTCCAAGAATAATCTATGAGCAGGTTGTGCAATCTTAGATACTTATATTATAAATTAAAAAGGAATACTGGTAATTTTTTGATCTCGTACTGCTAAGTTTAAAATTACGATAGGTGGTATCTATTTTAGACATGCAGGTATTTAAAAAATTTGTTTTCAGATTGATATTCCCTAATGAGAGGCGTGTAGTGGCACTAAAAATCAGACCAGGTGGTGTTGAGACCTACCAAATCAACCTGTAGCTTATAATTAGGTTTGTTCCCGAAGCGAGTTCCTAACATATTGAGTATGCGCAGTAAAAAATGACTGTTCCAGCAGAGCAAAGTTCCAAACAAATTGAACTTGTTTGGCGTTTCCGCAAGATTAAAAACTTGTTCATAACGTGTTTGTAACTAGTTTTAGTAGTTCCTAAATAAAATACGAACTTTTACTTTCGCGCATGCGTGCTTATTTAAAATATTTTTTTTCTTCTTCTATTTCTTTGTTTTTAATTGGATTTTAAGTTAGTTTTGTGAATGCCTATTATCTTTAATTTTGATTAAAATCTTATACAACGTTGTAACAGCAAAAAATATAATAAGGAGGGTAGTTTTTGTTTGTGCGATTTTGAATTGATCATAAAGTACATCCTCATTATCTTCTTTTCTTAAAAAATATAATCGAATGATCTATATTTAGTTAAAACTGCAACATTATTTTTTTTAACGTTCCAGCACACATTTATTTAGAACTCATTCCGAACATTATTCTGCTCACGCATGCGTATCAGATAATGTTTGTAACAAGTTTGGAACTCGCTTCGGGAACAAACCTATTATGTAAATATTTTTGATTCTGTATTACTATTCTATTAATTACTACATAAAAAAATTATTAGAAAATCAATTAAAATGTATTTAATAACTAACTACTGGATGTTAAACATAGTAATTGAGTGTTTTATTAACGTATAACGTACAGATAAACGTATTACTAACTCTATTCAAAAAAATGTTTGCACCTTATCTAAAACATTCATAAATGAATTTGACAATAATTATCTAACACCCGTATGCATAGTCGATCGCCAGCAATTCGCCAGAGATTCATTCCGGCGTATCGCCAGCGATTCGCTGGCGATCTGCTGGCGAAAGCCCGAAAAGGTGGCATGTCATTTCTCATAAGTTTTCATGTTCTTTTATAGGGATTATCACCGGCATCTCTCGCATTTTATTATTGACTCATTTCTTAAAACTCAAAAAACAATGAACGAATATTAAATTTTTCCCTATAAAAGAACATGAAAACTTGCGTGAAATGACATGCCGGTGACAATCTCCAGCGAGTCGCCACCTTTTCGGGCTTTCGCCGGCGGATCGCTGGCGATGCGCCGAAATGAATCTCTGGCGACTCGCTGGCGATCGACTATGCATACGGCTGTTAGTGTCCTTCAATTTTCCATTAAATTCCTAATTACATCATTATCTAAAGATGTCATAACATCTTTTTAAATTACATTAAGCATAATAGATGCGTCAAGATTGTCCCGTGTCAAACTATTTCGTATCCTATTTAAAATAGAATAAGCTTTGAAAATAACTTCTAACTACTACTAACCTGTAATATGGTACATTTAAAACTCACTAAAAACTAACAGTTTAACCTTTAACTCAACATTTACGTGTTTTCCCAGCTGATATTTTTACCTCTGCCTCCTCAAATGTTATCAAGGGATAATTATA